AACTTAACACCGATAAAATGACTACTTTCAAAACTGGAAAACTGGAAAAATGAACACAGTGTACGCCACAAAAACAGTAACCAGTAAACAGCTGTTTACGCAGAACTGTTACGCAAACTTCAGTTCAGTTCACTTCATTTTGCAGAGGACGATGTGTTACCCCTGTACAATATTGCGTCCAGATTGATATGCGGCTAGCTGTTTTTGTGGTTTCCAACATCACGATTCAATAGGTTTTGTCTGAAGGGCAGAAAGTGAGGTGCAGTATCACGTCCTAGGCATTGAATCTCGGGACTAATCGGTACTTACCTTCAAACTGTTTCATGGAAGGTAGGAGACCAACAGTCATCTAATGATCTCTTGAAGGCGATGGCGTTCGAGCAACTTACCACATTTTAGGGTAGACTATTCCAATAAGGTATTACGCGACTGGTAAAGAACTTGGCACGAATGTCCAGCCTTACAAGACTACGTTGCAGCCCTAATCTATGTCCCCTAGTGCCACTTGAGGGGATGGATTGGAATATATCATCAAACCTAAGTCCGGAGAGACCGTTCATGACCTTGAAGACTTCTATGAGATACTCCTGACTCTCCTTCTTGCCAGAGAGAACAGATCAAGGTTCTTGAGTATCTGTTCGTAGCCCTTACCTCTTTGTCCCACCATCATCCTTGTAGCCAGGCGTTGCACTCTTTCTAGACATTCGATGTCTTTTCGAAAGTAGAGTGCCCATGCCTGAACACAATATTCCAAATGAGTCCGGACTATCGCTTTGTACAGAGGGTCGAAAATCTCGGGTCTTCTACGCGTAATCGTGGAGTGTACACGAAAGAGTTCCCTTCGAGCTATGTTGGCTGCCCTCTGACATTGTTGAGAGAGTTTGAGGTCTTGTGGAGTAATTACCTACAGACCCTTAACTTCTCTCTCACTTAAGCTGAATTTCATTCTGTATGNTTCTGTATGTCAAGTTCAGCTTCTGCTGTTAGAAGCTGACAGTTAGCTAGGTTGAGCGGAAGATCCCACTTGTCGGATCACCGTATAACAGCCTGCAGGTCCTGATATACTTTCGCTCCAGCCACCTTGAAGTCGTCCGCGAACATAAAACACGGGTATTGATTTCCCGTGGCAGATCGTTGACGAACATAAGGAATAGCAGTGGGCCTATCACAAAACCCTGAGGGACACCGCTAGTCATTTTTGCCGGCACCGATAAGTGCATATCAACTTCGAAATGGAAGGTGCGGTTAGTTATAAAGCAGTATATCCACTTGGGTTCTGTTTTGCTTTTATCGTGTCCTCATGCTCATAAACGTACCTGGCCCTTCTCTGCATAGCCTGCTCATGTTTTCTTGCTACCCTGTAGCTACACCATGCCTGATACGAACTGAGCCGTTTGTAAAGTGCCCACTTTCGACTCCTTGTGGCCAGAGCCCTG